CTCAGGAAAGGTCAGCATTTTTATGGGATACTCCAAAGATATGTCTTGACATTAACAGGTTCACATAATATGGCACCTCAGATAAATGTCTAGACTCAGCAGCAGCCTTTTGCTACTGCAAATGATTTTCTCCAAATAGAAAGCAACAAACAATGAAAAGAGGAGCGTATGTATTCTGCACCTTTCAAATAATGATTTGTGAAAAAAGCAATTCCCAATGTGTTACATTACAATTTGAAATCATTTATGGGACAGAGAGAGAGAGAGAATTCAAAGCTACTACTTGTCCCAAGTACATGGCAATTTGTTAACTATAATTTTGTGCAGGGACATCAAAGCGTTCATGAATTTAAGGCAAATAGCAATGGTCACAAATATTCATTGGAAGAAGCCTCCTACTGACTTCAAAAACAAAGCAGTCCAAATATACAAGAGGTCTAAAACCTGACCTGAGATGGGAAAGGCCAGAACCAGAATGCAGTAAAGTTTGCAACTTCAGGACAAGATGACAGGAGAGGGAGCAGACAATGAACTTACGTTTGCAATGAGTAAAGAATGAATTACAGTTCATAAATGGCCCAAGCCTGCCAAATCAAAGGATTATAAAAGTTAGGAATACAATGTCATCCACACCTTTAACGTGTACTGCAGAAAGGTAACACCTGGATTAAGGAGAAATTGAGCCACATTTTTTTCTTATTCTAGTGTTTGAGGCCAATCAAAGAGCTTGGTAATACAAACATTTCAGTCAGTAACTTCCAGTATCACTCAACCTGCACAGCCACACCTCCACCTGGTCCCTGCTAGAGCACTAAGCAAAGTCACCTAGGTATGCTACTACTGATCACGATGATGATCATGACGATGATGATAATGATGACAATGATACATAGTCAACATGTAGGTTCCTGATCAAAGGCTAGCAAAAGAACGGAAGACCTCTTGAGGTTGTTGGGAAATAGAGATGAGTGGTATTTTAACATTTGCCAGACCCAAGGGTGGCTGTTCTTTTGATCCGCTTCTCTTTGTCTTGTTCCTTAATCCATCTACTGAGGTTTTATGGGGAACTTTGGCAGTTACTCCTACCATTTAGCACATGATCAGTGGTGAAAGAGGACAGCCACACACGACATAGGAATGAATATGATTACTACTCTGTTATTAGTGGCTAACTGAGATTCATCCAGATGAAATATCAGGTTGCTGTTGCCTGAACTCAAGAGAAAAATATGGATTATTTTTTTCAGATTAACTAATACACCTGGAACTCTATTCAGGATGCATTTTCTCCTGCTCTCTTCAGCCTCCACATCCTCACCACCTCTGAGGCCCATTTTTTTCTGCCAGTCATGTATGGGAACACTCAAGGAGGGAGAACGAGGAAGGAACCAACGACTGGGACTGTTACAGTGGGTGTAGAAGAGGCAAGTTGCTTTGAATTCCTGCTGGCTGCCTGAGTGCTTTTGGAATGCAGCTGAGTCTTTGGGGAAAAGGCCATCCCTTCCTATAATGTCTCAGCCCCAAAGACTCTAAGCAAACAGGCAGTCATACAGCAGTTGCACTACAAAGACAGCTCATTGCCTTGGCTGCCGCCACCTCCAGCATCCTCCTCGTCTTCTTTCTCCCCTGAACTGCACTGCCTGAAATTACTCCCTTACTCTGGCTCATGGCCAAGCTGACTTTGTATACAGTGGTGCCCCGTATAGCGAGGGCTGACTTTGTATATATCTAAAGTTTCTAATTTGCACCAGTTCCAATACAACTCCCTCCATCTCCCTCATGTCATATCCCATGCCATTCCAGGAGTTCTCCCAAATTTTTCAAGCTTTTGTGAAGATATAAGGGATGTAGGAAAAGTGGAAGGGAACAGCAGAGCTCTTTTGCTGTGACTGGAATTCTGTTTCTAATTTACACCATTTCCAATACAACTCCCTCCATCTCCCTCATGTCATATCCCATGCCATTCCAGGAGTTCTCCCAAATTTTTCAAGCTTTTGTGAAGATACAAGGGATGTAGCAAAAGTGGAAGGGAACAGCAGAGCTCTTTTGCTGTGACTGGAATTCTGCATAGAGTTGGATGAAAGCCTCTCAGTTTCCTGCCTGGTATGCATTCCAGCAGTGACTACAGTCCCATATATACAAACCCTTCCGTAAATTGCATTTTGGAATATCCTGACAAAATTTTGTCTGAACAGACTAGTCAGCAAACCAAAACAGTTCCATACCTTAAGAACAGCAGAGCTCTTTTGCTGTGACTGGAATTCTGCATAGAGTTGGATGAAAGCCTCTCAGTTTCCTGCCTGGTATGCATTCCAGCAGTGACTACAGTCCCATATATACAAACCCTTCCGTAAATTGCATTTTGGAATATCCTGACAAAATTTTGTCTGAACAGACTAGTCAGCAAACCAAAACAGTTCCATACCTTAAGCTATTTATGCTTGACAAAATTTTGTCTGAGCGGACTAGTCAGCAATTCAGCTTATAAACAAGCAAACCAAAACAGTTCCATACCTTAAGCTATTTATGCGTGCTGTTTCCATGTTTTAATGCCAAACACTGCTGTAAAATCAACATGGAATTAAATGATCCTGATGTAAGGCATAGGCTGGGACAGCTGGTGCATGTCTTATGAAATTATAAGGGCTATAAAAGGAGGGGCAGGAAAGAACCCAAATTGTTAATTTTACTAACACAAATTTTCTTGTTGCCACAAATACCTAAAAGGAATTCATTGATTAAAAAATAAGCTATAAAACATTTCCAAATCAAGCATGCCTCAAAATGACTGAATTTTCTTGCCAAATCCCATGTTTCTCTGAAAATAAGACAGGGTCTTATATAATTTTTTTCAGTAGTTAGAGGTTTGTCTGGTTTTCGTACTCGTCCCAATTTCCGGCACCCCCATAAATCTTCTTGGAGATATGGGGCAGCTTACAGTCATGTTATCTTCTTCTGGTTGCTGCACAATGGTGGAGGGCAGGGTTTCACTTAACTAGGGCTTATTTTTGGGGGTAGGGCTTATATTATGAGCATCCTGAAAATCATACTAGGTCTTATTTTCAGGTTAGGTCTTATTTTCAGGGAAACAGGGTACACAATGAGGAAGAGAAAATCACACAATTTTATTTAGTGGGGAAAGGCTCATTTACCCAAGTGTAAATGGATGAAAGATGGGAATGAGTATAAGCTAAGACCAGCAGTTCTAAAATTCACTTGTCAATTCTGCACTTCTAAACAAACTCATCAGAGAATAAGACTGAAATCCTATAGACACAAAAATGTCATGAAACTAAGCAACACACATATTTTTTTAATTAGATAGGCATCAAATGTTGCTCTTGACTGCAGTCGTCCAACCACATAACTTGGGAAGAAGCCTTCCTGAACAGAATTAAACTTCATTCCAAAAAAAATCTGCAGGACTGCACTGTAAGATACTGGTACATAAAGATTCCTAGAAGTGAATGTCTGAATCCACACATTGGACCTTGGATTTTTCATTCTAGTCCAAGAAAAACATATCCTAGAAGTCCAAGAGGAAAGAGAATATAGACACATATGGCAAATAATTTTTGAAGAACCATATAGGCAACAAGTATCTCTCTGTGACCTATTTTATACTTCAGAAATTTTCTCCTCAGTACGTACATCAGACCTTCATTCTAATAATATAATTCATAAGCAGCCTACAATAAAATCCTAGATGTGAAACACCAGCACTTGAGATGAGAGGTATCATTTACACTAAGAAGTACAGTGATTTCTGAAAGGTCCAGAAGGTCGGATATGAATTCTGATTAATATTGATGAAACTGACTCCTAAAAATTAAATACCGGAAGAACACTTGATACCATTATACATAAAGCATAGCTGGGATGTTCTCATTAAAACAATTTTTAAAAATTATTATAAGATTCTCTTTATGTCAAGATACTGAGAGCTTTCTAAAGCTGATTAACAATATTAAATGAGGAACTGAACTGCAGGGGAAATCAACCTTTCCTGCATATTTAAAAGTAATGGCCTATAATTTGTATTCAAGTGCCATTTCCCCATGATTCATTTGTACTGAAGCCAAATTCATGGCCTGTAGATATGAAAGCCTCTAGGGATAAATGGAAGAGGAGCTTGTATCATATTGAAACAACTTGTATTTTAAATCATCCTTTCGGTTGCATCCTTTTGTAAGTCAGATAAGTGTTTCAATATGCTTTTTTTCCAGCTGTGGATTCCTTCAAACCTGCACAAACAAAAGGTGCAGTAAGCTACACAAGCAGGTTTATGAAATAAAGTGGTCTTACAAGGATGCTACAATTCTTTATCAAGCTCTCAAAAAAAAATCAGAGCCATGTCCAAAGTAAATCATACCACTAACTAAATGCAATATTAGTCACAGTGAAAGCAGTTCCCTAAATGAAAGGAACTTGTTGGTCACTGCTTATGCATGTCCCATGGATTTCAATGGTTTACTCATGGTTTACTCACACAAATTTAACTTGCTGTTATTATTGTTTTACTCTTAGAGAAAATAAGTCACTCCAAATTCATTGGCCACCACTGTAAATGAAAGAAAAATCAATTCTCTCTGAAGCAAAATATATCTTAATTTACTTGGAATTGATAATGAAGCCACTAAAAAGCACACAAATGGGTCATCAAAGGAGAGTGGACTTAATGGGGACAATATTTTCATAGAGACTTGACTAGCTAAAACAGTTCAGACAGTATATTAGAAGTAATGCCATATTTCAAGAGTAATTTGGAATTTTGCCTCTCCCCAGCTCATCATGTCATTACACATTTCGTATTTAACAGGCTGAGCTACAGTTCATACATTAAAATGCAGTACAATATTGACCTTAATATTTGGAAAGCAGAATGATAAAAGCACACATGTCAGCAGCACATTGTAATTAGCCAGCACTTACGTTAAAATGCAGTACAATATTAACCTTAATATTTGGAAAGCAGCACATTGTAATTAGCCAGCACTTACTTCTTCTTGCTTGGAGATACTACATTTTGTCAATTTTGACTTGGTCCTTGTAGAAAGTATCCCTTTATATGAGGTGCAGACCATGCTAGTTTCAGCTGGTGCCTTGAGCCTTGGAGATTCATCAGGAGTTTGATCTTGACCATCCATTGGCCTTACGTAAGCAGTTGGCTTCTGCTGAACTATACTGGGCTTTGAAGCAAGTGAAGGAGGAAAGTTCTGCACACAATGTCCATTGTTATGCATTGGTGGTCTCTCTTGAGCCTGGACTCCAACATCTGCACCACAACTCAGCTTTGGTTGCTGTTGTGTTAGGAGGCTGTCTATCAATGTGGACGATAATGGAACTTGTGTGGCACTGGATGAGGATGGTGATGAGGGGCTGGATGCATAAAGTTTTGTCTTTTCCAGATTGTTGTTTTGAATAGTTTTGAAGTCGTTATTATGTAAATCAGGCAGTCCAGGCCTATGTTTGCTACCTCTTTGCTGGCTCTCCAAACTGAGTCCAGAGTTCTGCCAACCCATTGCAGTGCTCTTGCTCAGCTGTCCAGAAAGTGTCACCGATAAGGAAGATGGTGGACTGCAGATGGAAGCTTGAGGATGGGATTTCGTGTCAGCGACAAAATGTTCCTCAGCTTTGTTCGCAGATGTTTGTGACATGCAGGGCTTTGGAACACCAACAAGGTGGCTTTGATTAGATCTGTCTGTCAATAACTCTTTCATCTCATCATAGTTGCCTAGTGTATTCTGAATACGGCTTGAGAGTTCATCTCCCTTGTTAGTCTGTAAAAGGGGAAAAAAGCCATTATATAGCTAATAATGCAATTGAAAAAATAGTATGTTTGAGTAGAATTCCCCTTCCATTTTTTTCCAGCTCTACAGAATGTTTCCTAAAAGGAAAAGAAGAAAAGAAGAAAGATTTTTTTCTTCAATTTCGTCTCTCCATCATTCCACAATATACTTCTTTTCTCCAACCTCTCACTAAGATTTTTACCAGGAACTACCCAGTAAATAGAATCTACTGTAAGTGTTCTCTGAGATTAAGTTCTATCACTCTCCCAACATACCTCAGGCATTCAAGACATCTCTTGCCCTGAAGTTTAAATAAGCACCTGCAGTAGCAGTGGGTGAGAAATGAGTTAAAGTTTGTTTGTTTTTCATCTGAATTTACAAGGATTCACAGAATTCCAATATGGTTAGAAACCATAATGATTCCTATTTATAGAAGATGAGAAAGTTGAGCTTTCACTCTTAAGACCCAAGCTGGGGAATCAAATAGGAAGCCACTGGAATACCTTCTGGTTTAGACATGGCACCTTAACCATTTTTGTTGCAACACTAGGAAGTGTTATAAAGGAAGCAATGCATGTACAATACTCATCTCCAAATAGACTGGAGAGGTGGAGCGAGGAGGAGTTAGGTAAGATTTTCATATCTCAAAACTCCCCTGCATGGGTGTCTCTCCTGCCCATCTATTCAGGCAAGAAGCTTTTTCCTCTATATAACTAGGCACTCACCACATCCGTCCATGAGACACTCCTGTTACTAATAAGGAAGAGATTATTCTCTCATTTTTTTTCACTATGAGGAAGGAGATCTATGTATCTGTAGCCTGAACCTCACACAAAGAGAAAGGGGCTTCATATTCTTAAATAAATACAAAGCTTGCTGGCATAGATGGCCGGCCAAATCAACACCCATCTCAAGATCCCACCAGACTACTTAACGCACAGTGAGCACCGTGTGTGGCCAGTGTAATCTTCAGCGCCCCAATCATGGCAGTAGCTCAGGGCAGTGGCTCATCCAGCCAGTCCGCAGCTAAGCAGGAAGACTAGTTCTCCCACCCCACCCCCTGCCAGAGTGGCCAGGCAGGGAGGGAGGTAGCACCCAGGTTACTACCACAACTGGGGCGCTGAAGATGGCGCCGGCCATACACACTGCATGGTTAGTGGTCTGGCAGTGGGTGTTAATCGGGCTGGCCACCTGTGCTGGCTTGCTTCATATTTGTCTATGTATATGAAGTCCCCGTTTCTACTCTCACACAATCTTCCCTCATTTTTAAGGAAGTTCTGGGAAGGAGATAAAGGAGCAATTAAGATAAGGGAATTGTCACTTAACTCTACAGTATTCAGTTCTGCTTCTCTTAAAATAGTGGCAGACTATATATTCTCACAAATAAGTAGGCTGTCTTTCCTGCACACACATCAGACCACCTAGGCTCTTTATGTCTTAATACAGAAGTAGCACTCCATAAAGGAAAACAGCTTTCCTTGTTTTTAATATTAACTTGATGTCCTATATTATCTTAGAAAGAAATGCACACAGTATACAGTATAATGATATCACTGCTCTCAGGGAGCCATAGATTAACGGGTGGTGTTTTTTGTTTTTTTGTTTTGTTTTTACTGGAGAGTAGAATAACTAGTAGAACTGTACTTGCTTGCAATGAATGTGTCTGTCTTTAGGCTAGCTCTAGATAGTGCTCTTTAGGCTAGCTCTAGATAGTGTTGGCTAAGTGTGAGCAATGGAAATATTTTACATGAGAGTCCCTGACTCAGTTGTCTGATTGGACTGTATTATTCTCTATATACTGAAAGAAACCGCCCAATTTTACTGTACCACCAGTGACAGAAGAAAACATCAGGGTGGACAGAGACCTGGTTAAGAATTATAAACTCACTTCTGGCTCAAGGAATAATTATGAGGGAAAGCCTGCAACCTTCCTACACATTTTCTAGCTCATCAAAGAAGAGACGGGTGCAGTGTATGAGCCAGCAAAGAAATGGAAACCCAAGGGACTACAAGGCTAATGTAATTTTGGCTTTTGCATTGCACACTGATGTTTATATAAAAACTGCAATAAAAAAAAGACAGAACACTTTTGAAATCTATATTAGTAAAGAAAAATTACTGTAAAATGAAGGAAAAAGACTAAGGACAGTTCAGAATATGATTGAATATAGGACCATACATAGCTTCCCAATTGTATCTATTATTAACATGGCAAAAAAGAGGTAAAAATCACTAATATGTGTACAGGATTGACTTCTTTTAAAAGCACTTTATTTTTCTTCTCAGAATTACATTTTGTAACTTTTCATGCGCTTTGAAAGATAAGCATCTAAAACTCAATTAGCTTTCAATATTAATACATGCGTTGTGAGGCCAGATCATTACAACAGACTACAAAAAAGTATATCCTACAGCCTGTATCTAATGACCAATTAAAGTGGGACATACAAAATTATTAATATTGTTGGCTTTTATTGGATCAAATTGTTATGGTGCGGGCACACACTCTAGGGGAGATGGCTGTAGAATTCGGAATTACTAACCAGTAAACAGTTTGAAGAAAACAGAATAATTACTAGAGGATGATACAGTATTATTAGCTAGATTCTTTGGATAAATTAACTTGTTCAGTGTGTCAGGTCAAGGATTCTGAACCCCAAGAGCCCTACAGAACTCTATAGACCTATAGGGAAAAGTCAGAATCCTGTGTTTGTCACAGCTTTCATTTTTTTTAAAAAAAAGGGGGGGGCTAATTCCAGAATGAAACCAGACAATCATTTCCAACCATATCAAAACTGATCCAAGTATCAAGGTATAAGTCTTTTCACATATGCAAAGATTCCAGGCAAGCATTTATTTTTTTTTAAAAAAGGGGGAGGGGCTAATTCCAGAATGAAACCAGACAATCATTTCCAACCATATCAAAACTGATCCAAGTATCAAGGTATAAGTCTTTTCACATATGCAAAGATTCCAGGCAACATCAGCATATCTAATTCTGCAAACTTTACTTCTTCATCGCTTCTATATTACATACGCACAAAAATATCCAGTTTTGAAAACATCCAGAAGTCTTACAGCTATTAAAAAAAACTGTTGGCATAAATGCTTAAAAATACTATATAAGAAAACTAAACTGAAGTTGTATCAAATACTTGAGTCAGAATTCAATCCAAAGTACATTAAGAGTATAATTTAAGATCAAAAAAGAACAATGAAAATGTTTCAATTACATTCTAAAAACACGGGACTGTGTAGCCATAAAAGGCATAATCAAAAAGCATGGGATACATACCGTATTTTTCCGTGTATAAGACACCCCATGTATAAGATGCCCCCACTTTTCTAATTCAAAATTTCTTTCTTTGCAAGAAAGTGGAGGGGGGAGGCAGGGATCAACACGCTTTGATTCCTGCTTTCCCTCTCCACTTTTTGCGAGGGGAAACCAGCTTTTTGTAAAGAAAGTAGATGGGGAAAGAACTTTCCTCGCAAGTAGGTGGAGGGAGAAAACGATTCCTGCTTTCCCCCTCCACTTTCTTGTAAGGAAAGTGCTTTACCCCTTCACTTTCTTTGCAAGTACTTTGCAAGTACTGCTAGTACTGTGTATAATATGACCCTCAATTTTTCCTCTAATTATTTTTGGAAAAATGCCATTTTATACACAGAAAAATATGGTATCTAAATATATAAAAGTTGTTGAAATTAAAAGCTTATGAAAATAAAATATATTGCTTGGTTTCTTAGTATATCTAGACACACATGAAAATTATTGTCAGTGCTCACCCACCCAGTTTGAATCAACAGAGGAAAATCCATGATGATTGTTATTGCTCACTTCTAGTCTGTGCAGTGTGAAGTGTTGTTGTGATGTATTAAATTCATGTTTGTGTGTCTTATCTCCCTATATTTATTATTCTATTGTTGTTTATATTTCCCCTTCCAACTATAAACAATCCTTTCTCCAAAGGTCTGGAGCACCAAGAAAAAAATTAATAGAAAATTCTATTGTTCCTGTAGTCTTTGTAATTCCACGGTTTATAAATTAGAATCTAGCAGGCTGCCACTATGACGATAATGTCATTCTTTTGACTACCATTTTGCAAAGCCTAGAGGAAAAAGGCTCTGTCACATAAAGCATTTGATGCACCAGGATACTGTAACACCAAGGTATTGTAACACCAAGGTCCTGGAATGTCAGGATATTGTAGCTATAGAACCTGCAAATTCTACTTCCATCTTTGCACACTACAGCAGAAACACATTCAACTGTTAGAATTGCTATGGTACAGTGACCTTGCTTAGCTGGAGAGCTGGCTATTTGTTTTGCAATGACTATAGTAAATTATTGCTCAAGCCTCAATTTTAAAAGTATTTTCATTTTCAGGATTAATTTTTCAACACTCCCCTTAATTATTTTAACACTCGATATAAAATTTCACATCTTGACAAGTACATCAGAGAAATGTCTGAACTCTGTGAGAGTTCTGACATAGCCCTAAAATGGGTTTTTTCCCCCACGAGAAAGGTTCAGCTACGTAGACTACAACAATCTGCTATGGGCAGCCATACACTTGGCTGAATTTGACATGCTATTTAAAAAGGAATTGGGAAGGAGAGTAAATGGATCTGCTGGATCTTTTCTTGGCTGTGTGCTTTCTGGGCTTGTCTCCACCCCTGCAGCTGGCCCCCAACAGTGTTTTCTTCCAGTTCTTGCTCTCTCCACGATCACCTATTGAATCCTAGCAATACCACTTTCCCTTAGCACTAGATGTGCTTGAGAGGTAGTGTTTACCTGGTTTACTGGAAGCAACATATAAAGAACCATTCCAAGGGAACAAATTTTAATTAAAAATATACCTTGTATGGTTCACTGAAGAGGGAATAACTGGTGTTAAACATGCCATCTTCGTGCTGGGCCTCCTGGTTTCTCCTTTCCCATTCTTTTCTGCGCAGTATATTTCTGTCAGGATCATAGACACTGTATCATAAGGAAGAGAGAGAAAAAGAATTAGCCAAAACTAAGTATATGGTATCAATGTCTAGGCAGTCAAGTATGAATTACCATGCAGAGGGCAAAATACACCAAACAAATTCCTGGGCTTGATGTTTTTCAACCGCTTTATTGGATAAAGGAAAATAAAGAATAGTATTTGTAGAGTAGACCTTTGGTCTATATGGGTGGGACAGAAAATAAATAGATAGATAGATAGATAGATAGATAGATAGATAGATAGATAGATAGACAGACAGACAGACAGACAGACAGACAGACAGACAGACAGACAGACACAGACAAATAAATTTTGTTGCAAGTGATACCAAACAGGGAGGCACAGCTAATGCTCTAGAAGACAGAATAAGGATTCAAGATGATCTTAATAGAATGGTGACCCAAACTAAACAAACAATTTTTTAAAAGCAAAAATAAAATCCTATTATGAAACATTAGGCACATAATGGTGCATTTTTCATAATCTGTTAACTGTCAATCACATGCCTAGTTACGCAACTGATTGCAAGCCACTGCACTATTAGAAGACTATGAAGCATGTGACGGACAGCAAACTTTGTCCAATTGCCTGTACAATTGCTGTTATACGAGTGTGTAATGCAACAGGCTTCCGGCTGTTATATTTCAACAGGGAAAATTTTTAGAATTTGCATACATTCATACATGTGAAATAAATCTATGGGTCTTAAGCCAAGTACAATCCAAACATGTGATGTCTCCGGGGGGGGAGGGTAGTAGAGTCCAGATTCAGGAAATAACAGTGCCAGCTTCCGGCTGTTATATTTCAACAGGGAAAATTTTTAGAATTTGCATACATTCATACATGTGAAATAAATCTATGGGTCTTAAGCCGAGTACAATCCAAACATGTGATGTGTCCGGGGCGGGGGGGGGGTTGCAGAGTCCAGATTCAGGAAATAACAGTGCCACTGGTTTTTGCTGAGACCTCAACCGGAATACTGAGTTCAATTCCAGACACCACCATTTTAAAAGTGTATGAATTAGCAGGAATTTGACCAGTAGAGAGCACTCAATTTATTTATTGATTTGATGAGTACAATCCAAACATGTGATGTGTCCGGGGCGGGGGGGGGGTTGCAGAGTCCAGATTCAGGAAATAACAGTGCCACTGGTTTTTGCTGAGACCTCAACCGGAATACTGAGTTCAATTCCAGACACCACCATTTTAAAAGTGTATGAATTAGCAGGAATTTGACCAGTAGAGAGCACTCAATTTATTTATTGATTTGATTTATACCCCGCCTATCTGGGCAACTCGTCAAGATGGTAAAGATCCTGGAAACCAAACTCTATCAGGAATGGTTGAGAAATGTGGGTTTATTTAGCTGTGAGAAGAGAAGAGGAGATGGTATGATAACTTTTATATGGAATTGGAGCAAGTTCCTTTTCTGTGGGTCAAGATGGTAAAGGTCCTGGAAACCAAACTCTATCAGGAATGGTTGAGAAACGTGGGTTTATTTAGCTGTGAGAAGAAAAGAGGAGATGGTATGATAACCAACTTCATATATTCAAAGGACTTTTAAATGGAATTGGAGCAAGTTCCTTTTCTGTGGTTCCAGAAGATGGAGTCCAAACCAATGAATGCAAATGACAAGAAAGAGGGTGCCACAAAACATTAGTAAAAACTTCTTGTTAGTAAGAGCTGTCTGACAGTGGAATGGACTGCAATGGACTTTCCTTCACTGGAGATTATATAACAAAGGATGGCGAGCCATCTGTCAGGGGTGCATTAGCTGTGTATACTTTCTGCTTCAGCAAGAGATTGCAGCCTGGTGTTATTTCCAGCTCTACAATTCTATGATTCTATAAGATGAATCAGGCTGAAGCCAGTCCAACCAAAAAACAAAAATTAAACTTAAAATTCAAGATATAAGATATCATCTGTGCCAGTTTGATTCTCTCTCCCTCCTACATGTGCACACACAAACACAAACAAATTTATGAAGAAAGCAGGGTTGAAATCTAAAGGCATGTACAGAACATGTCTTTATAGTGAAATGAAAGAGAGGAACTACTAAAGCACCTTTGCCAAGAAAAAAAGGCCACTTTTTAAAGGAGATAGTAATTAAAGCTATGCATATACAGAAACTATGAACACATTTCTTTTTGTGGCAGTTCCTTAGAGCGTTATTGAGAATGCTGCTTTAAGAGAACCCTCTAGTTGAGTTCCATACTGCTTTTTATTGTTATTAACAAGCTCCCTAAAGGGCTATTGAAGCTACATGCTCCAGAGGTTTTCACAGTAATGGACTTTCTTCTGATCTCTTCTAATCAGCAATGGATGTGAAACTACATCTGAAAGAGCTGTTCTCTGTGACTGAAGAGACAGTCTGTGACACCAGGGCCATTTCATAGCATAAATACCCCCCCACAAAAAAATAAAGGATCCTTAGAATATTATTTTTTGGCAACAAGACATAACAGGAATGTGGCATCAGTAAGATGAATTTATGTCTGAATGGCTTGTGCTAGTGTTGTTTACTATGAGGAACACTGGCATTCTGCTACAGACAGCAAAATGTCTTGGTCCCAGAGTACCCGAGACTGAGGTACAGAAGATCAGACTCCATAGCAGATCTTAGTCAAATTACCAGAATATTCCCTTCACAAAGGGAATGTAGGCCTGTGAGAGGAAATGTGACAGATAGCTTTTCTCTGTTCCTGTGTTCTCTTTCTGGTGCCATCTTAATTATTGAGGTTGGCTATCACCACAGCATGGGTCAACCTCTCTTTCACTGTTTAGATTACTTGTTATTTATTAAAGTTCTAGCCAATCTCAGATGTTACTCATCTAAGAAACCCACCTTCTACCTCTTCCACATCTTTCTTTCAGCAATGAGTTGCAGTATATTATATTTGTCATGATTAATTATTTGTTCAAGATATAAAACCTAGTGTTTCTTAATCAATTCTATTTCTTTTTGTTGTTTCAATCCAATGAAGTACTTGTAGATACTAATACTAGATCTCCATCAAAATGGGATTCTTGTAATGTGTACAGAATATATGCTATTCCCAAATGGAGAAACAATATTTATTAATCATAGGACTTCCAGATATTTATTCCATAGGACTTCCAGAACAAAATGCAATGCAATAGGATCCTCTATCCATGGAATCAGTATCGGCAGATTCACTTATCCAGTGCCTGGTGAATCTGGTATACTTACCAGAACTGGCTATTAGAGGGAGTAAGAGACCATGCTATCTATAGCATTAGCTATTTCTGCATTTTTTAGCATCTATAGTGGGTGGGGTTGGAACTGATCCCCCAAGGATACCACAGTTCTAGCATATAATATTGGCTCTTTTAACTCCTTTCCTGAACCTGAGGTCAACAACAGATGAGATGAGCAGTTTTATATTTATATTCAAAATGTTAGTGAAATTTTATCCTCCAATGCTGCATTTTTCAAAGCTTCTGGTCAAAATGTTGTAACAACCCCCCCAACTCATGTAAAGTCAATTGTGCTACTCTCTGGGGTGTGTGTATTGCATTTTGTTGATCATCTGTCATATGACCATGTGCATGACTAAGTACACCACCAATTGCTCAATCCAGGCACATGCAAGCATGCAATGGACAGACAGGGTAATTGCATGAACTACTTGTGTGATTTCTAATTTATACCAAGTTTCTACTCTCTATATCAGTCAAAGCAAACCAAACAAAGCAAAATAAAGTGTGATGTTTATATACTCCCCCACAGAGCATAAAGAACTCTCCGGGCAGCTTACAAAATTATGCAGGCTACACATTGCCCCCTCCCCATAAGCTGAGTATGCATTTTACCTACCTTGGAAGGATGGAAGGCTGACTGAACATTGAGCTGGCTACCTGGGACTGAACCCCAAGTTGTGAGCAGATTTTTGGCTGCAATAGAGCAGTTTAAGCACTAGCATGGGGCTCTTCAACTTGTGAATGAACATCCTACTCCTCTCCAATGTCATTCACCAAACAAATCCAAGTTAATTTCTAATTTATGCAGCTTGGTAGGAAACCCTTGGTGGGAAAAGAAAATATCCTTTAACTCTTAAGGGAGCTCTCCTCCTAATTCTGAAGTTTGTCTCTCATTTACTTTTGTTCTTAGTTTGCTTCCAGATTAGGCCCTTATCATGCAACGGGATAATGTATCCAGCTTCACTCATAAGAGGAGACACCATAAACATCACCAGTACCATCCCAATGCTGTGTCCCTCTCCTTCAGCCAATCCAACTATTATTCATGCTGGTGTTTCTACTTCTACCTCACCCCAGTGATCAGCTCAATAGTCATTGCAGTGCTCATTTCCATTCAAAGTTGAACTTCCTGAAGAACAGTATTTTCAAGCTACACTACTTCAAAGCTTTTTAAAATTCTTTCTTTCTTTCTTTCTTTCCTTAATCTATCACACTGGTTCTTAACCTTGGGTTACTCAGGAGTTTTGGACTGCAACTCCCAGAAGCCTTCACCACCAGCTGTTCTGACTGGGGTTTCTGGGAGTTGCAGTTCAAAAGCATCTGAGTAACAAAGGTTAAGAACCACTGATCTATCACACCAGATTCAATTTTTCAAAATGTTGATTACAATACTCATTGTTGTATACAGTACTTGATTCAGAAGGATGAATTGTGCCGACATGGCATCTAGATATGCAATTGGTGTGCTTTGACAAAATTGGTCCATCAAGATATACAGCTGGGGTATGCATATGAGACATGGATATATTTTATGTGTATCAGGTATTATATATATTTTTTCAAGTTATATTTTAATTTTTTACCACCAGCCCAATATAACTTGAAAATATATACAGAACATCTGATACACAAAAAATATACCCATGTCTTGTATGATACCTATTAAATATAGCATTTTAAGATATAACTGCAAAATCTGCAATCTCTTCTATGGTCATATCCATTCTATTGAGCAAAGCCACAGCAATTTCACAGAGGCACGGCT